TCTAATATTATAACAATTTATCAAATAAGAAATAAAACAAAAAGAGAGTGTTATATATATCATTAAATAATAATATGATTATGATGTTTAATAAATTATCAAAGATAATCATAATTATAATTTATGTTCATGCGGTATTTTAATTTATTTTGATTATTTGTCGATTTGAATTGATTTTATTTGTATTTTAATGTTATATAAATGTTATACAACTGAGAATAAATTGTTTTAGTAATTATGTTGTAAAAAATTATATATATATATATATATATTTGAAAAATAAATACAATAAAATTTTTAGAATTTATTAGTAATCATAAATGAATTAATCATATATATATATATATATTTATATTTATTACATAAAATTATTTGTTGTTTTAATTTTTGTTTGTATTTATAATATTGTTAGTAAATTTAGACTAAAAGTTATTGTAATAAATATTAGTCATACTTAAATTACAAACTAAAATAGTAAATTATAGTAGTTGGTCTCTTTCTTTGTTGTCTGATTGTCTTGATGGAGTGTTTTATGTACCATCACAATTTTCTTTCCATTCATCACATGGCTGACCACTTGTGTAATTTCACTCATCTTATGCCACTCAGCACCCATCACAGGCTCTAGATCATCATTTAGCACTATAGAGGTACATCTATATTTACACCTCATACACTTAGACTAGATTTTGATGATAGAACATTATATGATACAACATTTATGTTGACATTGATTTGAATGCTGACTTTGGAGTAGAATTATATGTTTCACCTCTAAAGGTGCATTAGAACTCACATCGTGGAGCAAGAGATTGACGTAGGGAGTGCATTTTGATGCCACATTAGTAGCATCAAGAGAACCATTGTTGAGATTAACTATAGTGGTAATGCTTTGTAATGTTATATTTGATACTTTATGTTGACTGTGTATTTACATTACATCATATTTTATACTTTCTATTGATTGTAGTGGTCTATATGTTTTTTTCTCTAAGTGTGATACATATTATATTGAAGGTACCATTGTTAGTGATAACATACAACATGCATTATCAATATTTAAAATTACATAATCCAACTCAAACACGTGTCATTCATGACTTCACAACCTTATAAAAGATGTACACATTACTCATTTAGATTTTGTTGAGAATATTGAAGTTTATTATGACTATTCTATTGACAATTCCTACATCTTTACCCAGGTTGTGACTCAACCTAATTCATTTCATTCCTAACATGAGTGGATTTTAGTCTTCCTTTATCTCTTGTTCTTTCTTCATCAGGAACTAACTTCCACTCATATATTGTAAGAATGTTACTTTCATTTCTTAAGAGATATCACTGTAATGAGTAACATTTATCACATATTGCACTGAATAAACCATATTGCCAAAAATTAATGTTTACAACTACACAAGCAAATATAACATGTAAGCATGAAAATTATTATGCTTGAAATCTCTCACATTCATTATATTTTCTACACAATATCATAATCCATTTTTTACCACCCATTTGTGTCACTAGATTAAATGTCTCTTTAACCTTTTATCTTGTTCTTTGTATGTCAAATCAACAAACTTAATGTGAAGAAGCTTTTTCTTGATTTTTCTGCATTTTTACCATTAATTTACGATAAAACTTTTTTACATTGTTAAGGTCACTCATTGATTCTTCTCCACGCTTGACAAAATATTCAACCATTTGGAAATAAGTGCATTTTACTAAAATTGTTATAGATAGATGTCTAGTCTTTTCAAAACTTTGTTGACAATTTCAGACAAATTGGTGGTCATGTGTCCATAACGACACCTTTTGTCACTATAACTCACTGTCCATTTTGGTGACTCATTGTAAAATCTTTTTAACTTATCCTTTAAAACAACTTTAAAAGGTGTATATGCTGCAATATACATTTGTACTATGTTAATAGTAAAAATAAACATTACATGAAAGGAAGACATTTCTAAAAAAAAAATATCTAATCTTGTAAGATCTTTCTTCAAGTTAATGTTCTTGAACCTATGATTGAAATTGTTTACAATATGAAGAATGTAATAAATATGATAGGTATTTGGAGGTTACCATCCAATGTGTGTGAATTTGAAATAACACTTTTAACATTTTGATGCCGATATGATACTAAATACGTTTGTCTCTGCAGTTATATGCACATGAATCATTTCCAAAAATCATTCTCATGTTGACATATTTTTAGTTCAACAATGGTTAAAACTAGTAGAAGGATATAATATTTTTCATCTTGTATTGTTGCAATCAACAATGTGTGACGATATTTACCACACAAAAATGTATGATCTACCTGAATGACTGATTTGCAAAAGTTGAAAGCTTTCATACATTGATTGAAGCACCAAAGCAATCGTTCAAAAATTTTAGATTAGTTTTTCACTTGATGATCTATAACATACTCTTTTGTTTCAATCTTATAAACAAAGTTAACAACAAGTGATTGCATGTACTTTAACTATCTTGACAATGAAACATACAATTCATTTGAAAGACACTTACAATCATCTTTGGTTTTGCCTTCTAAGCTTTTTTGTATAAAATTTTATATTCAAATTGAGCAGTCATCCTTTCTTGAATTAAGTTTTTTATGGTCTTGTTATATTGTAGGATTGAAACATGTATATTTATCATTCTACCTCGTTATTTTTCACTTAGTTGAATTTTTAAGCAATGACACTTTTACTCTTCATGGGTAATCATTATTATGATTCAAACACTTCACATGCAACTTTGTTGATTTTGATTCAACTACTAAATAACTCTGATGTATTTCCATAACATGTTGTTTGAATGCATTTTTAAGTTCCTCTTTATAAACAAATAATAATTTAACATATAATGAATCTCTTTAAACTTAAGAAATTGACTCATTTAAATCTCTTTCTTCTATTTCTTGATGTGAATATTTCCAATTAATATACTAGTAATGTGGATTTACATTCTAAAAAAGAATTTCACCCTCACTTGCATTAAAATACTATCAATATCTATTTCATAATTACTAATTTAAAAAAAATACTAATTATTAACAATATCTTTAATATTTTGTTGTGATAAATTTAAGTTTGAATTAAAATTACCATCTAAATCGGTATAGATTTGTCTAATGAAATTTTTTCTTCATCACCATCTTTATTGTTTATATTGATCTCCTCATTTTTATATTCATATTGATCTCTACTTTTTTTCAAACTACAGAAACGTAGTAAATATGTGCTCTCAAAACAAAAAATTAAAATTAAAATTCTTGCAATAAATGTATTTGTACGTTCAGTAAATTTTATATTTAACATTTCCAAATTATTAGATAGTGTGACATTAATAAATTTAAGTCTCTTCATTATCATATATATTCAATAGATTGTGTACTATCTACCACTTGAATCAATTAAAAAACATAAAATTAAAAGATATAACAGCCACTACATATTAAATGAGAGGAATAAATGATAAAAATTGTATATAATAACTTTTCTAACATTTACAACATCGTATATAATATAAGATTGTATATAACAACTTTTCTAACATTTACAACATTGTATAAAATATGAGATAGTATATAAATTTTTATTAAAAATTACAATATTTAATGATTTTCATGCATTTAAATGCATTGAATTTTGTAATTACTAACAAAAATTTTACACGTATAATTTTTTATCTTATGTAATACTGTACAATTAAAAAGAATTGAATAAATAATATATCAATTTTATTATTTAATATTATGAATATTTTTTAAATAAAATATAAATTTATGATGCATAAGTACGCTTTATTAATTTTAATGAATAGAATAAGTATTTTTTTCATAAATAAGATTGAAGAAAATACAATTTTTTAATGTTGAATTTATGGTTTGCTAGTGACAATTATTGTTCTTGGGCTCGATGTCACCTTTTACCGAAGGAGATGCTGCTTGACGTACTTTAACTATTAACTATTATTACTTTCTTTGTTAATTCTTATCTTTATCGTAACACTCTTTATACCATTCAAACATTCTTCTAATACAGTCATCTCGTTACTGCATTAATTCAGTTATATTTTTTTATATAATATCCTAACCCTTCAATATATAGAATTAATATGATATATTTTATTTTAAATAAAAAATTAAAAAATTTAAAGGAATAAACAGTGAGATTAAAACAAATGATAGTGTGGAAGGCTTCATCTGAAGTTCTTCGTTCGATCGAAAAAGTTGTTAAGCATGGACATGAGTTGCAGAAAAAATTGCTGTAATTCTAATTTTATAGAATTTTAATTTCATTGAAAATTTAAACTGTTGCATCCAAACAAAGGGTAACAGTACAAATTTATCATCTTAACAATGCAGATTCCAAGAGCAAATTGGAAAGAAGCAAGAAACAGGTGTTAGTCCTAAAATAAAATAATCCAAACCAAGATGAGTCACCTTTCCTGCATTCGTTTTTCTTAATTGAACAGTGATTGAAATAATGAGCAAAAGATTCCCCTGCAACATTTCTTTCGGTGCTGACACTTCTTATGAAACGGTGATGTCTCTATATATATCATGCCTGGCTTTCACAACCGCTGGCCTAAACGGCGATGTCTATATGTATTAATATATATACAGCATGCGGTCCCAGCCATTGTTGCCGAAACTGTTTGGCCCGTGCATGGCAGATGCACTCTGTCCAAACCAGACTAATGCTCCAAAATGAGGCTTGATTTTTATTCAGAGGTGGTACAAATGGTCCAAGATCCCGCTGCTTATAAAAGGCACAGTGACTCCATAACTTTCAAGCCACACCGAACATTGCACAGCATCCGTTATTTTACTGCAATTGGGATCAACAAGGGTCGCTCTACAGTTATAGGTCCAGGTATATAAGCTTTCAGATCTTAGGAAAATGATGCTTTTATATCTGAATTACTTCTTTTAGTTTTGATTTCATCTTATTGTTAAAATTTGGTGCAACTGCATGCAGTTACAAATGGACAAAACTTTGAAGCTACTCGTTTTATTCGTTGCATGGACTTGTTCATTCCCTGCACTGAGATGTGCAGAAAGAGCCGATCCTCCAGCAACCAATGAGGACCCCATTAAATTCACTACTGGAAGTGCCACTCCAGCAAGCTACAATCAGTTCATTGATGCGCTTCGAGAGAGACTAACAGGTGGGCTGATATATGGCATACCTGTGCTTCGAGATCCTTCAACAGTGGAAGAACCAAATCGATATGTTACAGTCGAACTCTCATACTCGGACACGGTATCTATCCAATTAGGTATCGATTTGACTAATGCATATGTTGTAGCATACCGGGCAGGAAGTGAGTCCTTTTTCTTCCGCGATGCCCCAGCATCTGCATCTACCTACCTTTTCACTGGCACGCAGCAGTACTCCCTTCCTTTTGATGGTAATTATGATGATCTAGAGAAGTGGGCACACCAGAGTAGACAGCGAATAAGCCTAGGTTTAGAGGCCTTGAGACAAGGGATAAAGTTTCTAAGAAGTGGGGCCAGTGACGATGAAGAAATAGCTCGTACCCTGATCGTGATAATCCAAATGGTTGCAGAAGCAGCTCGATTTAGGTACATATCTAAGCTGGTTGTTATAAGCCTCACAAATCGTGCAGCGTTTCAACCTGATCCTAGCATGTTAAGTTTGGAGAACACATGGGAACCTTTGTCAAGAGGTGTTCAACAATCAGTGCAAGATACCTTTCCACAAAATGTCACGTTGATAAATGTTCGTCAAGAACGTGTTGTTGTAACTTCCTTGTCACACCCATCAGTTTCAGCTCTAGCATTGATGCTTTTTGTCTGCAATCCGCCAAATGCAAACCAATCACCTCTCTTAATAAGATCAGTTGTGGAACAATCAAAGATTTGCAGCTCTCATTATGAACCAACCGTGCGCATTGGTGGTCGAGATGGGTTGTGCGTGGATGTCTCTGACAATGCCTATAACAATGGCAATCCTATCATACTGTGGAAATGCAAAGACCAGCTTGAAGTGAACCAGCTGTGGACCTTGAAAAGTGACAAGACGATAAGGTCCAAGGGGAAGTGTTTAACTACCTATGGTTATGCTCCAGGGAATTATGTCATGATATATGATTGTAGCTCGGCAGTAGCAGAGGCCACTTATTGGGATATATGGGACAATGGAACCATTATCAATCCAAAGTCAGGCTTGGTCTTGAGTGCTGAATCTAGTAGCATGGGAGGGACACTCACCGTGCAAAAGAACGATTATCGAATGCGACAGGGCTGGCGTACAGGCAATGACACAAGCCCTTTTGTAACTTCAATCGCTGGGTTTTTGAATCTCTGCATGGAAGCTCACGGAAATAGCATGTGGCTGGATGTCTGTGACATCACCAAGGAGGAGCAGCAATGGGCAGTTTACCCAGATGGTTCTATACGACCAGTGCAAAATACAAACAACTGTTTAACTTCTGAAGAACACAAACAAGGAGCTACCATTGTCATGATGGGTTGTAGCAATGCATGGGCTAGCCAAAGATGGGTGTTTAAAAGTGATGGTACCATTTATAATTTATATGACGACATGGTGATGGATGTGAAAAGCTCTGATCCCAGTCTTAAACAGATAATACTTTGGCCATACACCGGTAACGCTAACCAAATGTGGGCTACTTTGTTTTAATGGCTTCATGCCTGAGGAGGCAAATGCTATCTGCCTCTGTAATGTTTAAATAAGTGACGGAATCTATCGATTCCAGAAACAGTCACGAGCTTCATGCTGCTTTGCAGTGTTTCTAATATGCTTAACTAGTAAATTTATGCTTTAACAAGAGCCTAGGTCATCCATCAAGTGATCAATAAAAAGAATCCAGTTTGCTTCAAATCAAAATATATTTTAGAACCTGACTGGTTAAATCAAAACAATTGGGAAGCTAAAATCATAATTAGAGCACGGGAACAAAGCTAGATATAGCGGCGATTCAGTTCCAAAGCTAGATCTTCATTTCCTCTAATTAATAAATTATGTAGCAATTGGGTATATAATTTAACAAACTGAATACGACATGAACATACCTAGTTCAACTGGGGAAGGGAGGGTTTTATTCTGGCCAATTTCAAAGGAAATGCAGAGTTTGCACTACAATTGAATTAACTAATATGTTCATTTGACAGATGCTTGTCTAGAGATGATTTGTATGTCACATTTAGTTTGATCCGATGATTTTGGCAAGAGGTATAACACCCACCTAATAATGGAACAAAATCAGCTTATTTGATGATTAATTTCTGTTAGAAAATATAAATGAATTATAACTTATTGTCTTTCCCCATGTCCCGCACTGCATCCCGCCTCCACTTTGCCGCTCTTTCAATTTTTAATTTTTTTTCACGAAATTTTCTTGTTATTTAAATCACTTCACATAATTATTTTTTGAATTTTACATGAATCACTTGTAGAAGTGAAATATGTAGCAGCTTTAAATAATTTTTTTTTCTGGTTTCTCATTTTCTCTAAGATACTCTAACATGGTATGTAGAGATTACTAACCCAGTGGAGATTCTAGTGCTCGCAGTGAAGCTTGATGAAAACAACTACCTATGAAGCGTATCTTAATTGCGTGGGAACAAAAGATCAATTTCTCCTTTTTAGGCTTCAATCTACATTGTCTAGTGCAATCCTCACTCGATGCATTGGTTGTCGTCATTCTTATCAGCTATGGGAGCGAATTCACGCTCATTTTTATGTGCACACGAGAGCTGGTATGCGTCCATTGCGAATTAAACATCATAACACAAAAGCTTAAGTCTCGCACGATTTCATAATATTGTTGATGCGCTCTTCTCATTTGGAGATCCATGTGCTCACAAGATCATGTTGTTATTATCATTGATCTCGTATTTATGAATCAACCGCTACTCCAGTTAGTTGCAAACTTGAGCATATGTCAATCGATAAAATTGAAGCTTTGTTAATTACACATGAAGTTTGGATTGCTCAATACATGGATTTCATTGCTGGAGCATAAATCAATCTCACACATACTTTGTCTTCTACTCCTACTTCAGATTCCAATACTCAATATAATTTACACAATGCTCTAATGGTGGAAGGTTTGGTTCTAGAGATGGAAAATTCTTTCGAGGAAGTGCGTAGTAGATGCTCTTCGGTGCAGTGTGAACTTTGTTATAAACATGGTCATGATGCGTCAATTTGTTATCACAGATTCAATCATCAATAGATTCCTAATTTTAGACTTCGAGTACAACAGTTGCAATGGTCTTCACAACCGGTGTTGAGCACCACCTCCTACTTATGTGCATATTGCCCTAACTATAATCCTTCAAATCCAACTATGGTTGTTATGGCAACATTAATCCCTCTCCTAGTTGGTATCGTGATTTTAGAACGACGCATCATGTTACATAACTTACATCTGATGTACACATTATACAACAATTAACTTCTTGTGAGGGCCCATCTCAGATTTTTGTTGAGAATGGTCAAGGCCTGAAAATCAATACTACCTGGTCCATCTGAAATATGTGAATTTGTATAAATCCCGAGATCAGTTCCATCAGCATCAATTATGGCTTTTGATTTATAATGGGCGTTGTTTGTATAAATATGTGAATTTGTATAAATCCCGTAAATGCACCGTTTATTTTGCATCTTAGCTTAAACGAAAGTGTAAAATTTTGTTTGACTGGACCGTGCAGTTCTCGCGCAAAAACGGGACTGAATCCCAATCCCATAAACCTGTGTTCTGATGTTGCCACAAAAAGGTAGCATTAGCATTCTGGTCACTGCAACAGAGGCAAGGATGTTGTTCAAAGCCTTGTGTTTGTAGGATCTTCCTACAAATATTCACTAGTTGCCGGAAGTCCAAATCTATTTGATATGACATCAATAATATAAAGAAATGCATAAGTTGCATGTGATCTTCTAAATGGTAAAAGGTTCACACTTCAAATATTAAAGGTGTATTCACTATTTTGTAGCCTCATCTTAGGTTAATAAATCCCTAGTTTGGATACGGATCCTCTCATGTTCTAGCGGGAACATGACCCTCCAGTCGCCATTCGCTTAAGCAAATTCCTATCAGCTTAAGCGAATTTAAGTGAATTTTTACTTGAGCGGTGATTTATAGCTTAAGCGACATAATTATGGGATTCAGGCTTCAAAGCGAGTCCAAGCGAGGTTGGTGAAACCTTGCTTAAGCGACAGTTCATGGCTTAAGCAAATGTAAAATCGCTCCGCTCAGCCCAAGTGAATATATTTAATCCTAAGCGAATTTTGGACAGAGAATCATGACTTTCAGGCTAGGTTATCGCTTAAGCCATTTTAAAATCGCTTAAGCGAAATGTTATTGGCTTGAAGCAGAAGCAAGCAAATTTATTTAGAATGAAGCGAATTTGGAACAAAGAGTACTGATGCACAGGCCTCTAATTCGCTTAAGTTAATATGTATCCGCTTGAGCGAATTGTGAATGGCTTGAGCCTATTTTTGGGATGGTTAAGCGAATTGTGAATGACTTAAGGAAAAATAAGGGCTTAAGCGAATTATGTGAAAAAAGGGTAAATTATGTAGAAACTGACAGCATGTTATCAAAGAGTAAAATTTTACAAAATTTGTTATCAATGTCAATTCCAGTCATCCAAAAACAGTTAAATATGGCAGCAAAAGATAGATAATAAACCATTCAATTGCATTCCAATAAAGGTACACAATTGTTCACAATGATGCATAACCAAAAACAATTCATTAATACATAGACAAGTCAATAACAAAAGAAGCCATTCCATTCTATTCCATTCCAATCCAATCAAATATCATCCAAAAATATATCATTGGTATCGTGAAGTTGTTCCTACAAAATAAGAAGAGATATTAGGAACCAACATTAATGATTAGACAATGTAAAGGTAAGCTGAAAATTATTACTCTCAACAAATCTGTGAAACTTAATTGATTAAGTAATGTGTGAGGAGGATCATAACATGGAGGTGCCGAACAATGTACTTCAACTGGATCACAAACAATTGGTTGACATTCCTTTAAGATATGAACACCTATATTGTTATATTATATGGTTATAATATGGAAGTTAATTGAATTGTATTTACTGGTATTCAAAATCATTATATAAATGAATCTGAGATGCTGATTGAGCTAAAAATGGTGTTCTACTCTTCTTTCTCCTTGCTTGTAGCTCAACCCAACTTTTGAAATGTTTACTCCCTTTCCTCTTAGTGCTTGGTCATCGCTTGAATCCCTTAGGTTGTGTACTATCATTATTGGCCATAATTTCTGCACCATCTTTGTCTTTATCCATAAGACTGTTTGTTTGCAACCGAAGCTTTGTAATTTTTCCAATTAAGTGTTTAATATTGTCATCAACTAGCTGATAATATTCTTCTAAACTAGAAACATTAGAGGCCAACCTAATCATTTTACATGCTAGGTTACGGTATCGGCGTGTGGCACTAAGTTTAGAATCTCCTTCTACCTCTATTCCTTTGACATTGTGAAAAATCCCACTACGATCCTGTATTGTCCATCTCTTAAGTATGTATTTATCAGGGACAACCTTCACATCATTGGCTTCAAACACTTTCAATGCATGACAGCAAAGTATGTCAAATGTATCAAACTTCTTACAAGAGCAATATATAGTGCTTAAAGAAGGTTCAAACGTAACTATCCATGATCTTTGTTGATGGACTTTAGTAATCACGTATTCAATTAGAGGAGGAGTTTCAATCCTTTGGGATATGCTACAAGCTAAGAATTGAGCAAATTGTTGTTGGAATAAGTTAAATATTATATTTGTGTAAACATTTGCCATTTGTATTAAGATTGGTGACACCTCATACTGCAACATAGGTAGCTTATGGCGGGAGTCGTACTCATGCTTCAGCTCATTGTAACGCTTTTCGTCAACAACTCGTTCAAAATGACCAAAGAATTATTTGATGTCAACACCACGTTTCATACGTGCCTTGAAATCAGAGTTTAAACTTTCACTTAACTGAGTACTTTGCATTCCAAGGGTGAACACATCCTTGAGATAACATGATGTCCATTTCTCCTTTATGGAATAAAGTGAAGTAATCCAAGAATTTTGTTCAACATTGTATTCTGTTATGAACTTTTTCCAAGCCTCCTCAAACTCAATTGAAGAATCAAAGTCATACATGCATTTTTTCATATCTCTTAAAAAATGACTTTCTCCTTTCATCAAATTACCAAGGTGTTTTATGCTATTTACCATATGCAAAAAGCATGATGTGTGTGAGGCATTACTTGAACAATTGCCTTTGCCATTGCTTGATCTTGGTCTGTAATAATGGTTTGAGGTTGTTTTTGATTGTGTGCTTCTAAAAAGGTCTCAAACAACCACTTAAATGATTCTGTTGTTTCATCATACAACAAGGCTGCCCTGAAGATAACAACACCTCGATAATGATTAAAACCTGAAAATAAGGCTAGAGGCCTATTAGCACGATTGGTGCAATATGTAGTGTTTAGTGATACGACTTCACCAAAACACCCATAATTAATCGTCATCTTTGTATCTGCCCAAAAAACATTTATGATTTGTTCCTCAGCATCCATTTGGTATGCATGAAAAAATGATGGGTTCTTGATTAACTATCGTTGAAAGTATTCCCTTAAGCAACCGACTTCTCTGTATAATATTCCCCCTTGTCTTTTAGCCTTCAAATAATTTTTTACGTCCAATGGAGTACAGCCAACATTAGCTCAATGTCCTGCAAGTGT